TCCTCTGTTGCAGGAAATTCCAGCTACAGCTACATACAAAATGCAACAGGACTTCTGTTAAAAGAATAGCACCTGTATATCATACAAACACTAGACACTACCAGGCATGTGTCAGTGCTAAGACATTTATTGTTCTTGATCGGTTTTCAAAGATGCTGCATGTAAATTATCTGCAAAAGCCTTTCAGATGAACATTTAATTTCTGGCTTCTTTCAAAAGCCAAGATAACAAAAATAGGCTCATTATTAACAGATATTCATTATACTGGTTCATTAATGTAGTTCATTCTTCAATATGTAATTCATCCTTGAATTGTAAACTAATTGCAGCCAGCATTTAAGATATGTCTTAAAATAGAGTATTGATAAACCAACACTACTTTAATAACAATAAATTATTACTTTTATTATAGTTATTATAGTTTAAAATTATGATTATCTCTCTTATTAAGTAAATCACACCACCATTTTTCGAGTAATATGATAATTTATTCATAAAAAATCTCATATTTATGAGAATTTAGAAAAATAATCTATTGATTTCTAGGCTTTATTATTAAATCACATGAAATCACTTTATTTTCTTGTTATGTAGCTATTCTGACATTTTGTTATTCTAAACTTGTCTGAAAAACATTAAGGCAAATATATTTTGATTTAACAAAAGAAGCCAATATATAGGATGTTTGTCTAATATAATCATTTTAACACATCTTTTTACTTACTGTTATGCATCACAAGCTCACAATAAAATTCCTTCTATTCTTCCGCCTTTCTTTGTTCTTCTTTTCTCTTACTTTCTTTCATTCAGTTTTTTCTTTTAGAAATTTGTTGTAAGATTAATATATGTCAAGTATCATGCTGGTTTTTCAGATCAGTGGAAGTTACAGAAAAAGAATTCTAATGAATATAACAAGTGTGATAATGAGGCATAAAATGTACTCCCAGAAGCACTAGAACATAACACTATCACAAGCACACATTATTTTGTGGAAGATGGGTCTCTGTCACTGGTTTTTAATACAACGAAATTAGAAACTCTGTCTTGTCATTCTACAGTCACTTGCCAGTACTTCACACATACTAGGCACTCAATGAATGCTTAATTAAAGTAAATAAGACAGCATACAATATCACAATCTGGAGACTTTCTGTAAAATAATTTTAGAAGTATTACAGGGTTATTATATACACTTGGAAAATCCAAAAACAAAGAATATAGCTTATATTATTTACATACCTATTTCTGAGTAATAATTTACTGCATTTCTTTTCAGTCTGTCCCTTCCTATGCTGGGAAAATTAGCATTGATGCATTTATATTTACTTACAATTTTCTACACTACTTATTAGACTGTAAATATTTCCCATGCCATTATATAGTCTTCAATATTAGACAGTTTAATTGCTGCCTAATATTTTATAAGGATTTAAACATTACATGATTATTGAGCAATTAGGCTTTTTTACAATGGTTTGTAACTATAAATAATAATACTGCCTTAGTCAGTATTCTAGTTACATAAATCTTTGCCTGTATCACTAATTATTTTGCTAATAATTATTTTGCTAATGCTTATTTTGACAAATAAACAATATTGAGAAAAGTACTTGGGGATTTACTGATTATATTATAAATTTCCAAGAATGAAATGTTTTTTAAGCAGCAGATAGTAAGTATTTTGAGTAATTGTTGCTTCTAATTAAAAATGTATACCTTTTAAAGAATACTAATCTAAGGAAACATTTTCGCAGGATTTTGGTGTTCAGAAAGGTAAATTATGTAAGCTAATAAATTATTATTTTTCTCAATTTCTTTTCTTTAGATCTTACATATAGACAGTTGTTAATAAATGTTATTTGGAGAGATGAATAAATAGAATGTATGAAATAGAACATTATACAGGAACTAAACAACTTTGGTGGAACTTTTTCTTAGAGAAACACAATATCTTAATGTCAAGTCTCCCCATAGCATTTGAAGATACTATTGACAGAATCCCCTGTTAATGAATAAATCCTCTAAAGAAACAATCTAGAAACTTACTCAATTAGCTATTGATATCCTAAAAATTAGTACCTTAAAACACCCACCTGTTACTTTCTCTCATGCTTGGGCCATTGATAGGCTTAGCCAGGTAGTTGTTGCTTGCAGAGTCCTCAGGTGACCCTGAAAGATGGTTGCAGAAGCTACAAGGCATCCGAAAGCTTCTTTACTTACTCTGACTTCGAAAACCTGAAAGAGTTGGGGTCAAATTTGGTGTCTCTTTCACATCAGGGGCTCCCCAAATGTATAATTTTGCCTTCTTTACAAAACAGTAGTCTTAGTGCAATCAGACTTCTAACTTTTCAGTTATCTTTTCTCATGAGTCCATTTCAGCAGCCCTGGAGTGAAGCTCAAAGCTTCAAAAGATACCACCTCAAAAGCTATATAATGCCCCTTTCACCATTATCTACCACATCCAACAGCCACAGCCCAACCTAGATTCCGGGGACTAAAAGCATAGGGTCCATTTTTCAGGGAGGGATTAGCCACTTATACAGAAAGGAAAGGAAGCAAGGGTGGCCTCTTAGCCTCCCACTGACACAAAGTGCTTAATGTGTTTGTCACGTGCTATCTCTTCCTCTCTGTGTAATTTCAAATTGCCTTTCTCTGACACACATTGTTTGTCTTTCTTTTCTTCTATCAATAGAAACTATTTCCTTGATTAATAGCAAAATAATGAAGGTTTTATGTACTCTTTGCTTCTTTCAATGAATCAGATTTTATAAGTATATCCATCTTCATATCTCAGCTATGCCATACATAGCTGCAAGCAGTGCTTCATTAGAGTGGACTCTGATTCCAAGTGCCTCGTATAAATTAAATATGCAGCAATGACATTGACCACCTATTTTTAAATAAATTATATTGATTAACCTCTCTATTAAATAGGGATAAGAATGATCAAATCGGGGTGACATAGTGATAAATGAATAAGTTACTGTTTAAAAGTAACTTATGGCAACCTACTACAGAACAAGATAGATAATGGCAGCTATTCCTATTATCACAGTTAATATCATAACTAAATCATTATCATTATAAACACTTCTCTGTTACTATCAGCAGTCTAACTTGTTAGATACCTCCTATAGCACATGAATCTAGTTTATTTTCCTCAGCACATCATTAGCCACTATTTTAATGGGTTTTGATATTGTTGAACTTATTAAACACATTTTTACATAAGGCCTAGACCTTGCCGAACTCATTAATCATGTTGTCCATTTTACTCCTAAAAACCAAAATGTTACCCAAAACTCTCCTAGCTTTAAAATATCACAAAGTCTAACAATTTCCCTTCATAATACTAGTTCCTTCTGTCATATCTTTCTCCCATTACAATCCAGTCTCCTGATTGCTCCTTTATTCCCATTATTTTAGCTTCCCCTACTCCTTCCCCCCCAACCCTCAACCATCACCCATATCCTTGGCATCTGTAATAGTAAAAGGTTTATTTATTATCTGTAATAATAAATAGTCATACTGTTCCAAACTCCTAAGTCTAAACACATTCGCCTAACTTCTTCAGTTCTCACTTTCCTAATTTTGCTGACTTGCTCAGGTCCACTTCAAAATAATGTGATCTAGCACAGTGTAGAACTCCAATCCTACTCCAAACCCTCTATGTTCTCTTTGCTGTCACCTGCCTCTCCCAAACCTTTCTTCCATTCGCATCCCAGGGATGCCATTCATACCTTTCCCAGAGCCCCATTCTTCTACCTGTCACTCCCTGATGGCGTGAAGTGTCCTTTTCTTTCATATCTGGGCTTCCCACCATCTCCTGCTGCTGCTTCACAGTCTTAGCAAAATGTTTTTGCTTCATCTTTTAGAAACGTCGTGTGCTCTAAGGAGGCTTTGAAACTTTTTGTCTGTTTCACTGTTGTCTCTTATTGAAAGTCTCTACTCAGAGGTCTCCACTAGTTGCTCTCTTTGATACAGTCATCTCTTAATTCCTTGAAGTTAGCCTCAGTCCATACCTCTTAGACCTGCTAACCACACCATCTAGCAAGAGGCTTACTGCATAGGAACCAATTCAGTAACTCTAATTTAAAGGTACCAGCATAGTATTTTTATTAAAAATAAAAGCCTTCTTACAAAAATTGTTCATATTATGAAATAGAAAAATATTGGTAAGACAACTGATGTTTCTTTAAGCCACTAGTTGTAAATGCTCACGTATTTTAAATGCTATTAAAATAACTTTTTAAAATGGCACATTTCTCCTCAAATAGATCATGATTATTCACTGAAGTCCATTTATTCACAGATTAATCACCACTATTCTTTACCATTCTTTCCTCATCAAAAGACAATTAATTTCCACGGATGCACTACCCCTCCATACTCAAAAAATATGTATCTAATTACTTTCCCTCAAATTCCTCATAAAACTTTGTCTAACTTCTGATACGTATACTTCCATTTTCTGTACTATCATTTCAAATCCTTTTGTATCCCTTTTGTTGGTTTTTAAGTCCTTGATACACTGCATCACAGTTCTTGTACATTGTAGGCTTTTGGAGCATGAAATTAGCCCCATCCTCTAATAGCTTTTTGAATGAATAGAATTGTTTTTATTTTTTGTAACATTGCCTGTCACTCTCTTCCTCTGCCTCTGTAAACTGTGATTGATTTCAACAGCTGTAGTTGATATTGGCATTCACATCCCTGCATCTGGGTTTAATTATTTTTCTTTTCCTATAAAATTTAATGCTAATTGGTAGTTGCCTCTAGGCACAAAGTGTCAGAAAAATATTGAATCTATAATTAAGTTCCCCCCAGAAATCCTAGAAACCGTTTGTATCCCATAACTTTTTGCTGTCAATTTTCATTACTGAATATATATTTCATTAAGATAATTACATAGTTTGATGAGATCCACATTGGAAATACAATTTCTCATGTCTCCTCATAATGATCTGTACTTAGCCTTATCCATTGCCTTTTGCCTATAGGTCCCCCAGGCCCACCAGGGATAGTAATTGTTGAGGAAATCACCGAAAGCACAGCCACACTGTCCTGGAGTCCGGCAGCTGACAATCACAGTCCAATCTCCTCCTATAACCTGCAGGCTCGCAGCCCTTTCTCCCTGGGCTGGCAAACCGTGAAGACAGGTAAGAGGTCCTAGGGTAGGGGCTAGACACCCACAATAGCTTCCTACTTCCTCAGGTAAATTTGCTAATCGGCTCACTAGGATTTTTTTGTTGTCGTTGATTCTGGAAACTTGTCATTGTTTATTGTGGTATTGACTACTGTTTATTTTATTTATTTATTTTTTTACAAACCTGAGAAATACAAATTCCCTCACCTTCCTCTCTTCTCAGTTTCCAAAGAGGGACAACATCTTGTTTGTTTGTTGAAATAATTTTAGAATAACATTGAAGTTGCAAAAATGATGGACCCTCTCCTCAGATTCTCCTGGTTATAATATGTCACATAATCATAATGTAATTATCACATCAGACAATGGGCATTGGGTCAACTTTGTTAAGGAAACTTCAAGCCTCAGTTTGTCCATTATGGTTTTCTTGTGTTGTAAAATTAACTTTCCTTCCCTCTGAAAATGTGAGTGTCCAACAGAGATAGGTAAAATCACCCTCCCTTGGTGGTTTTTAGATATTATTTAATATGACATTTGAAAACTATAAGACCATAGAATGTAATCTTGAGAAGCAGTTGACCCTACCAGCTAGGGACGGATGCTTATGTTTTACTCAAAGTTGATTCATTTGTTTTGAAACGAAATGTAAGAATCAGTAAAATATCTGAGTGCAGGAACAACTGATACCAGTAAAATAGTGGGTTCAGAATATTATGGTTATGGAGTAATCCATTTGTTCCTTAGATAAATACAATTTGAGCAGAAAGTGATTTTGGTATAATGCTTACAATTGGAGATAAAATATATTTATTTACATGCAGAATATAATCCAGATTTTACTGTTATTTAAGATTCTGCATTAATTTAAGCCTCAATGTGATTATCACTAGAGTGTACTGTGCACATATATCCATATTTTTATATGTCTCATTCTTAGCTTCATTTTTAACACTGCTGCAGACCCATGCAATTTTGGAAAAACTATGGTGATGGTAGATTTAGCATGGACACAAATTCACACCACACAAGCCAATTTACACAAGAATTCTAACTTTCAGCCTCGTGCTCCCATATAATCTTCAATGGCACAGCTCAAAACTTTTAACTACTCTATAGCTAGGAGATAGGCTCAGATCCAGTGTTGTACACCATCCATGCCAATGATGGCAAACCTTTTAGAGTTTTCAATGATATAGAACACTGAGGCTCAAGGTTTACCGCCACTGACCTAGCCATCCTCCTGTCTGAGGCTATATTGCTGGTCACTCTTACATGTGACCCTTATGGCTTACGCCTAAGCATGTTTTTTTCTGAATATATATCAATATGTATGTCTTTATTTTCTGCTAAGGTAGTTCAGAACATCTTATATTTTACTTATTATATACATACTTTTCTTGTTATGTTTATTCTCTGATTCTTGCCTCTGGTTTTCTTTCCTGGCCCATCTCTTTCTATTTTGTATGTATGTGAAGGTGTGTTCATGAGTATGCAAGCATGCATATACCTATAGTGTTTAACCATTTGAATTAAATGCATTTTTTTATTTTAAAAATATGTACCCTAAATGTGCATGTTAATCATTCTAATATAATTCTAGTACTAGAAACACATTTATATTGGGAGGTGTTTCCTAGTTGTGTTCCTCAAAGACTTATGAAAATCCTATAGCTATACTACATTTATAAGTAAATGCATAATTTCATAAATGTATTTATATAAACGATCAATTTTACTTACCCTTCATAGTGCTAGGTGTCTAGCAGGATGTTGCTCCTTTAATCTAGACCATTGTTAGTCAAAAGAAGTGCTAAAGCAGAAATATCTACTAAGGAAAAGCAGTACTTTAAAACAGCATTTAAAACCACTTAAAATTCCTTTATATACCAAAATGAATATAAACAATAGTGAGTTCCTTATTTTTGATAATTAAAGTAAAAAGTTGCATATAGACCTTCAGTCTGACCATATCTTAGAATTAGCTTATATATACTCACTTGCACAAACAGAATTCCATGATAAAGGTAGTATATTCATTTTTTAAAATATATTCATCTTGAAGAAAATATGAAACAACTATAAGAAATATTTTCATTTGTAAATGTCTTTTCTACTAAAACAAATTCCTTTTAACTTTAGATATCTGATTCTTCTTCATATTATTGAGCAAAATTAGATCCAATGCACTGTTTGACTGTGTCTGCTTAACAGTAGCAAATCACTTATAAGCATAGAACTGATTGGGCTTTATTTACTGTATTCAGCAATTTTTAAAATAGTTTATTTTCCTTCTATCTGTGGATATGTTTTCTGGGGGTCAATTGATTAAATTTGTCCATTTAACAGGTTATTTTGTATTTTAGTAATTAAATTCTTGGGTGAGATTTTTTTTACTGAGAAAGATACTTCCACAAGATTCTTTTCAATCAGTGTGAGGACCTCTGCTGTCTTTAATCATTAGCATGTCCTGTCTGAATTATATTTTGTTTGAACTAAGTTCTCAAAATAATATCTTTTTAAAAATATGCTTGCAAAGCTGCTAAAAGTTTTCATTACCTTTAATCTCCACAATTTTGTATTTAAAATCAAACTGCAGATCTTATAAATCTTTGTTACTAACTCACTTATAACAAACATATAAAATTTTGTTACTAACTCACTTCACAATACTTTCTGGATTAAAATATCTTTAGTTTAAGTTTTCTACAATTATTTTAAATTACTGATAATAAATATTGAATTTGGAATTTGCAAAAATGTTTTTTAATGTGACTTTTAAAGAATTTAGAATGCTGGAAAGGATGTGAATCTTGGCAGGGCATCTTTGTAACCTATATTAATGACCAACAGGCTATACAAATGTGTCAATTTAGAAAGATATATATATATATATATATATATATATATATATATATATTCTAACATAAATCCTATAATAATTATATCCAGATTCAAGCAGAAATTAACTCTTCAAATTTCAATCACACCAGACAATTGAACTCTGCTTTCAATCATCTAAGAAAGTTTATTTAGTACTTTGTAAGTAGTATTTCAGGTACTTAGGATACATTGATAAGCAGAAAAAAATAACAAGGGCTGGGGATTTAGCTCAGCGGCATAAGCGCCTGCCTTGCAAGTGCATGGTTGTGAGTTTGATCCCTGATACCAATTTTAAAAAAAAATTCCTACCTACAGTCTATCTGATGGATAAGGATAAATCATAAGCAGAACAATGTAAATAAGCAATTTGTATAGTGTCTTAAAGATTGATGAATGTTTTAGGGGAAAATTATATCGAGTAAGGGGAACCAAATTACTATGGTAGGGCTGTAAATTGGTTTTGATGAGATACAGAATGCTATGCACTAATTTTATTAAAAATAAAATGCTAAAGACTGCTCTTATAAAAAAACAGAAATTTATTTCTCATAGGTTTTTTTTGGGGCTTGCAAATGTTCACCTTCTCATTGTGTGCTCACATGACACAAAAAGAGAAAGAGACAGAGAAACAGACAGAGAGAGAGAGACAGAGAAAGAGAGACAAAGAGAGGGAGAATATGCTCAGGTGTACACTTTGGTTTAGACCACAAATCTTATGACTTCTTTAACTTTAATTACATCATTATACAAGCATTTACTTACAAGAGATGTCAAAAACTAAAAAGGCAACAGCAGAATAATGTTCAGAGAAAATGCAGAAGATGAGTTTGGCAAGAAATTAGCAGGATCAAATCATGAAGGCTATTCCGTAAGAAATAGGTAAACACTGGGGGGTTGATATATTAAGTCTTACCTTTTAATAAATTCATTCAAACCATGTTAAAAATACACTATTACAGTACTGGTGATCCTATGGAATGTGTGCCACAGCAGGCCGTTTATTATCACTGAAAGCTCTAAAAGATTTGCCATCACCCCACTATTGGAAAAGGAAAACAGAGAGTCACTAACCGAGTTAGGAAGCTATTATAGCTAAGACGTGTTAGTGCTCCATAGTGATACAAGTTGGAAAATTTGTCAGAATTTGAAAATATTTGGAAAGTAAAATCCATAAGATTTCCTGACATTATGCATGCAAAAAGTATAATAGAAAAATAATTAAAGGATTACCAAAAAAATTTCTTTACTTGAGCAAGTCTACAATAGAATTACTGTCAAGTGTTATAAAAAAAATTTGCAATGTTGGAACAGAGTAGACAGAATCAGATCACAATTATGATGTATTTATTAGACATTCAAATAGAAAGCTCAGGTAGGTAGTAGGATACATGAGTCTGGAGTGTAAGAGTGGCCTAGAATAAAGTTTTGTTATGGTTTGTTTAAATGCCCCCCCCCAATGCCTCATGCAGTCATGAAGGTGGTTGAATCTAGCATTTGTGAGTGATTTGTTGTCTAGTGCTGAGTTGGCAGTGTGAGTGCTGCACCAGCCCAGGGACAGGTAGGGCAGGAGTCCTGCCTTCCCCTCTTTGCCCTTGTTGCTGTGGTCACCAGAATGATTGCTCCTTAGCCAACCCACCCTGCCTTGGAGCCAGCTGAATATGGACTGAAATCTCCAAAAGCTATAAACTAAACAAGGCTTTTCTTCCCAATTTTGAGAGTCAGGTATTTGTCTCAGCAACAAGAGAAATGTAGCCAAGACGAGGTTTTAATTGGAAATTTCTTGCTATATACATTACATTTAAAATCATAAGATTGTATGTCTACTCCAAATAAATAAAACAAGCACTGAAATTTAATCAATGAGAAAGCCAAAAGAAAACTGACCAATTGTTTTAGCATAATGGTCTCACCAGTGACCTTGACAATAACAGCTTTGGTGAAATAGTAAGCAATAGAATCTGACAAGAAGAGCTCAAGAGATAGTGGGGTGAAAAATTAGTGCAGACAAATCTTAAGAAGGTTTGCTACAAAGAAGAGTTCAGAAATTAGCACACTTTTAAGCCACAAATACCATACTTTTCTTATGAATTGTAATCATAAGAGGAAAGAAAAGTATCTAGGACAGCCCCCAACATTTTGGCCACACCTGTGAGACAGCAACTGTCTATCCCTAAATAAGAGTCTTTCAAGTTTTATTCAAATAGCAATGTATAATAAAACATAGGAGTCTAGAAAAGAGATTCATGGCTGAAAGTGTTAGAGTCTTCAGCATGTAGAGGGTAATCATTAGCATGAAGTTGCTAGGAAGAAAATGGGAAAGAAAGCTGAGTGCGGGGACATCTCTGGAATTTGGAAGGAACACAGCAACAGAGACTGATCAGGCATTGTCAAGTATGAGAAGAACAGAAGTTTAAAAAACGTTTCAAAGGGAGAAAGCCATCAGGTGTGTCAAAGGATGAAACCTTCAGTTTTCAATAACAGAACACTGGTAATATTGATAGGAAAAGATAGGGTGGAAACCTGAAAGACTGAGCCTGATTAAAGTTAGTTCAAGAGAAAATGGGAGGAAAACAGAGACAAGTAATAGCACAGACAGCTCAAAATGGTTTGCTATAGAAGAAACAAAAATCCCAAGTAAAGACTAGGAAAGGAAAGGTGAAAAGAGCTTCATTTTTTTTTTTTAATTTCTATAAGAAAAACATCTGCCTGCTTGTATTCTGCCCGGGAAGATCCATTAGACTGACTGGGAGTATAGGGAATATTTTTCACCACATATATTTTAAGAGGACTATCCCTTGAGAGGATGAAAACGTCTTCAGTTTCTATGAAAATAGAATTCTGCAGAGACGTTCAGAGAGGACAAGTGTATAGAGGATTTTGCTAATGATAAATCATGAATTTCAAAGGTAACGATGAAAGGACTGTAAGAATTAAAGAGGGACCTAAGCTGGGTAGTAGAGGAAATATGCAAATTCTATGAAGATTAAGAAGGCTCAGCAGCTCTGAGTTGTTGAAAGTTACTGACATAAATTGAAGTAAATGAGAGATAAATCCTGCGCAAGCCAAAGAGGCAAAGGTGATACAGTATAGCACGGGGCTGGAGAGGGCCGAGTATCTGGGAGTCCCTTCCTTGCCACCTTGGTGTGTGGCAAACAGTTCAACATTTCACGTATCGGCACACTAAACAGTGGCAATTTCCCTACCTCCAGATGCCAAGAATATTGCTTAGTTTCAAGTGCAATAAGAGGGGACAGACTTTTTATTTTTCATCTTTATGCAACCACTTATGAAAATCAGCTTTGAGTTCACTGAGATTTGTCCAGCAGAGCACAGGATGTGTGTTTCAAAGAGCTAATTTGGTATAACATTTTTGATGCATTTCAGAAGAGATTTTCATGAGAAATTTAAGATGATATAACTCCTCTTTGCCGTAGTAAAATGGAACTTTCATCAAAGCACCAGCCCCAGCCTCCAGATTTGGCTCCCCAATCACACTCCCACAGAAATCAAGGGCTCATATGTAGAGGCGCCTTGCATGTCAGCATATTTGCCATGTTCCCGCTGTTCACCCTATAACAATTTCTGTAACAATGTTTTAAACAACAGAGATAAGCAAATAAAAGAGTCCTCAAATAGGACATGTATTCTATGTAAAATAAAAAATATTTCACTACATGATTGATTAATAATTTTATTTTATAAAAAAAATCTTAGTACAAAAGCCACTCCCACATAGAGATTAGACCCTCTACTTAGATAGCACAAACTGTAGGCTTTTTAAAATTAGAGAAATATATTCTAATTCTGCTCTTTCAAACCATCAAGTGATTAAAAGTTTTTTCCAGAACTGGGAAAAACAAATTATTCATGAAATTTCCCTAGAAACTGAAGAAAATTCTTTGCTTAATTATACTGTGAGTTGGCCTTTCACTTGGGCTAAAGGGTTCACAAAATGACTTTTAGTAGATAATGACAAGGTACAAAATGACCAGTTTATGTGTAAAGATGAAAGAATGCTAACTATTCTGATATCTTTGACACATACAAGTGCTTATTTCCCAAAAATTGATTTTCATTTTACTAGTGATACTGTGAATAATGTCATAACCACACATTATGAGAAATTAGTGATTTCTATCACAGTGACATCCTTGGTTGTCATGTGTAGCATTTTTCCTGTCCTCCTGATGATATGAAATGACCTTCCTCTGTCTAGTCCCAGAAACCATAACAGGAGACATGGAATCAGCAATGGCAGTGGACTTAAATCCGTGGGTGGAGTATGAATTTCGAGTGGTGGCCACCAATCCAATTGGGACTGGAGATCCAAGCACCCCATCGCGAATGATCCGCACCAATGAGGCAGGTAAGAATTTGGAGACTCAGAATTCGCTTTGAAAGCAAATTTAATGAACCATAATTGGTGCATTGCTTGCCATTGTATGATTTTTCCTGATATTACTACCTAGATATCACAATATCGTATCCTTTAAAGTAATTATTTTAACTTCCTTGATTTTAGGCCATTTTTTTCCTTGTTTCTGTACATTGAAGCCTCTAGACACTTTAGCTTTCTCTCAACGTTTGTATTATCTTCATGTTACCATGAAATTGAATCAATTTATTCTTCTAATTATATACTTATTCAATATTGAATACCCATAAATTAAAATAGACCAACTCACTTTATCCTCCAGTGATAACACTTCCCTTTAACTATATTCTGCTTCATTAGAATTCCTTTATGTTGCCCTTCACCACCTAACCTGGATAAATTACTCTTTGCAGAGACACTGTCCTTGCCTGACCTATTGCCTTCACTGAAGCCAATGTGTTTAGTAAATACCCATCTGCTCTCTGACTAGAAAACATAGCATTCCTTTGATCTTTTAGGAGGGGTATCTCTGGTGAAAGTTATTCCTAATGACTATATAAAGGGAATTAACAGATTTATTTAAAAACAAATTAAGATACTTTATCACCTAGAAGGAACAGAAGCATGAAAGATAAAGAATAATGAAGTTTTTTAGTAGAGTTTTAATTACTTTGGACAAAGTCTTATTGAGATCTTTATGCTCCTGAAAATCCTATATTAATTTTATAGAGAACTAGGAAAGAGGTTTCCTGACACAGTGACAAGTGTTTGAGGAGGTAGAAACTTTTATTCTGATTTGATTATTATACATTTTAAACATGTATCAAATTATCACCTGTACCTAAATATATGTACAATTAAAATATATAAATAAATAATTCATTGAGAAAGTACCTAATAAGGCAATAATTTAAGTGAACACAATAATTTAACGAGAGCAATGTAAAAACAATAGAGAAATGGGAGGGTAAGAGATGAAGTATCAGAGAGAGGAAAAAAACAATTTTTTAATGTTTTTTATAATTGATAATGATACAAAAATCTCAAAAAAAAAAGTGTGTTAAAGACGAAGAATTTTTTTTTTTTTAATCTTAGAAACCTAAAATAGAGTCTAGCTTTGGTACTCAACATGTCATGATTTAAAAGATTCATGTCGTGATTTATATAATTTCCTCTGTGTGCACCTAGCTGAATCATTATGTCGGCTAGAGCCACATGAACAATAAAGAATAATTGTATCCGTTTTATATCTTAGTTGTAGATTTGGACTAAAAGTAGAATTTTTAGCTTCTAAAATATTAAACAAAGTTTATAACAATGCAAATATACGATTAAAACAATTGAGCATGCATTGTTTAGCTCTATTGAAGAAAGAAAGAATTACAAATGGTCAGTCGATTGCATTAAGTGCTAGTCACCATACAAAGGGTTTTTTGATGTAAAAAAAATTAAGAGCAAGAAAATAAGAGGTAAAGTATTTAAAACAGGTTGGGAAAAATTCATTCACGGAAAACCCAACTTTTCTGCTTTTGTGGTTTGCTGCTCCAAGCTGTTTTTTCTGCTAGTTTTCAGTACTGTGAATTTTAAATTGAGCATTAATTGCCTGGTTGGATTTGCATGCATCCATAAAATCATCCATGCTTTCATTGTGTACAGGTGTTCATTAATTAAGAGCATAACAGGTTAGTCATTCCTCATTTGATATACTCACTGTGCAGATACTGATATGACTGCCAATCGTAATACTTGTACTCCATATTTTCTTAAAAGAACTGCCTTACTTTGCATATTGTTAATTGCATTTAAACAAAGACAAAAATTACTGCCTAATTCAGAGACCCTCTATAAATATTCATTCAAACATAAATAATCCACTTGGGATGAATAATCCTTTCAAACTTTCTATAGTATAAATCTCCTGGTGGTATTAAAAAGCATTTTAGAAAAAAAAACACTTACATTTTAAGCTAAGTCATATTTAGATGGTGCATTTAAAAGACTTCATCTATTTCTATAGCTACCTCAATCATTTTCTCTGTCTCCCCATTTTATCGTGAGTCCTGTATACGTGACATACTTTCGTCCATTAAAATCTTACGGAAGAAAAGAGAAATAGCATGAAAAATGCATGAAGTACACTCTTCTGAAACTAAGTTGAGGCACACTTGTAGTGCCTACATTATGCTTCTTTTGCTTCAATACCGCATACAACTAAAACTACTAATGGTGTTGAACCAAGTGTTGAGTTTGTGCATGTTTTGTCAGGCAGCACAGATTTAAAGGGACACTAATATTCTGAGACATTTTCTCAAGTGAGGCACTCTGTCTCTATTAAACATGAATCCTATATTTTAGAGCATTAGCCTCTTCTAATGGACCAACTAAACTTTGAAAATTGACAAAGCTGCCTGGGAGAAAAAAAGTCTCAAATTAGGATGTTGAATTGAATATTTTTTGTCTTTTAAAATTCTCTTATTTATTAGAAAACTCTAAATTCTAAAAGTTTTAGTAAAGCATTTCTATCTTAAAATTACTCTTTTCCAAAGCAACAAAAAATGTTCTTTATATTTTGCTTCAGTGACATGTTTTGAATTTTCTAGCCTTCAAACATGTTGGTAATTTATAAAGATAATATAATTGGCTTGGTTCAACTTTTTCATACTAGTATTTTAATACTGGGATGGAAAAATATTAGCATAAGCAGTGCTAACTTAGTATAAATTTATGGCATGTTTATTTATAATGCAATTTTCTCACAAGTTTTGTTTAGATGGTGATTAAAGAAAAAGACAGATAAGCTTGTGTTTAATTATGTCACTATCATCAAACTAACAAATTTGGAATGAACTAATGAAAATATTTTTTAATTTAGTAAGATCACACTCAATAGAGTGAAATCACATTTCAAGAAATGAATTTGAAAAATACACTATTGTAGAAATGGAATGATATAAAATAAACACACCAACAGTGAATCTCCATTAATTGAACTTCAAAATAAATTACAAATTTATAATACTTCAAAGGCAAATAAAAAGGAGAAAAGTTAAAGCTCACTATGTACTTGTGAGACTTTAGAGTTTTTATTTTCTGTAACATAATATCAAAGCTCTTGCTGTAAATATCAATACTGGCAATCCAATTGCTTCAATTTTTAATGAAATACACACACATATGCATATGAAAGAGAAGTTCTACTTTTAATTCTGTGTTTGGGTTTAGGTCGTGATTATGTTGCTTTGAGTCATTTACTAGCATTGGAAACGCAGGCAAAAGGTCTTAAGACTGACTTTTCTCACTTACAGAATGAAGAAAATGCTACAACTATCTAATTTGACCATCATATTAAAAATATAATGTGTAGATACTAGCAGCTATTTTATCATCATTAATTTAAATGAATTATTCTTTTATAAAATGGACATTCAAACAATAGTAATCATGCAAAAACACCTCTTTTTATGGAGGACATAATTTCAAATTATTTACATGTGTCCTCTACTCATTCTTCCCAACCCCATGTCTGGCCTGACTTTTACAATCTTCTACTCTGGTTAGTACTGAATCTATAACTAGATTTCCAAGTGCCCCAAAGTTATATTTGTTTCGTGTACCGTAGATATGTCAAAGGAGCCAAGAAAGACATATTACAAGGACCTATTGAAAGACCATATGTAAATTCTTTTTCCACAGAGATTCTAGGACATTAAACTGTACTCCACCAATCCCTTTTAAATCAGAAAATAGTACTTTCAAGGAAAAATAGTATTTCTACATTTAAGAGCTGAATACTCCACCTGATAACTGTATCAAATACACAATGTGAAAAAGGCCTTTCCTATTCTTAGTACTTCCTGTTGTGCATCGTACCTGCATAGCTGGTGTAGTAAACAGACTAAATCACTGTAGTCTAAACATGAAATAGTGATATTTTTCTCCCACTATTACTCTGTGCTGTGATTCAATCATTTCCAGCTTCAGCCTCATTTATTTCTTAGGCACTTTTAGGTTCCAGGGCAGTCTTGTTTTCAGGTGTTAACAAATTTCACTTTAAGTAAAAACTACAATCTGTCATCCAATTTCATGCTGTCCCCTTTCACCCCAGCACAGGCCTGGCCCAGGAGTTACAGTCTCCTTTGTCATCTTCCTATTTCCTGCCACACCCTTCAATGGCTGCTGTGGCAGTTTCCAGGTCAAACAAGGAGGCGAAAAACAACTACTTAGAGAACGTGATTGGTTTCTCACTGAGTACCATGTGATGTTATGATGGCAGCCCTTTTTCTTTTTTGAGGTGTCTGCACATTTTGGAAACATCTTGGTCTTGATCAGGCAGCTTTACTGGTTATGATCCCAATAAGCCTGTCCAGAGTCAACTTCTAGAGAGTCCACTTGACCCATAGTACCATCCCAGATTAACAGCCACCAAACCTTAGAAATATAAGCTGTCCTCAAGAACTATTTTTGCTTTTGCGCAGATACCTCAGTGAAGGGAATAGGAAAGCCCACAAAACTCTGAAGCTCAACGTCATCCTGTCAGATAATCATTGAAGTCTTTCCTATGCGTGTCTTACACCTGTCATTATCAAGCTTATTTAACTTGACTAGTAAATGATACCTTCCTTTTTCAATAGATAGGTTTGAAGCAGACACTACAGCACAACCATCTTCTTTATGTATTTTAAAATTAAAAAAGAACAAAAATGATGACACAGAATTTCAAAACAACATAATAGGAGATTAACAATGGTTAATATTTTGCATATTATCTTCAAAGTAATTGCTCAGATTATCAGATCTAAGCATAAAAGAATGATCAAACAATGAAAGCACAAATCATTCTTTTTGATGAACTAACAGATTAGTAGTATAATTATTAATTATCTATAAATTATAATTAATCTATATAATTACTATTAATGTACATAATATATACTACATTGTCTAATACATATTAATATACAATTAATATGCAATTAATTAATGTATTATAT